TTTGATTATACTTGCAAATATGGAGAAACGATGCCGGAGCAGTCCTTACTGTTACACCTCCTTGAATTCCACTTGAAGCCTGCTACCTGGGGTGCATGCACATTAATGGATTTTAAACTAAAGCTACCACACCACAAGAAATTCTCAAGCAGTTAGCATCAGAAACACTAGTTGGTTGAACATATTACTCTTATTTTAATAATGCACAATGACTTCTTTCCGTTCACAAATGATGCAATGCTGCTGCCCAGGGTGCAGCCCTGAAAAATGGGTCTCCCACCATTTATGAATAGGTGGAAAGGAAACAGATGACAGCCATGCTAGCCACTGCTGTTTTTCCAGTGCATTAGTATAAAAAAAGAAGGGGGAGGGGGGGAGCAGCTGTATTCCGGCTTTGTCAGAGTAAAATGGCAAGAACCAAGAGACAGAGGCCAGGAGTAACCATAGTTCACCAGGACATGGAAACGGCTACTGCTGCTAGCACTGCTAAAGTTAGCCAAACTCTGCAAACTAATGTGAGTGTGTTTGCAACATTGTGCACGGTACAAAGTGCTGCAGAACTCAGCAGCATTTGATTAGCGGTTGCATGGGAAATATTTTTTTAACCACTGTTTAACTTTTCCTATTTAAAATTGACTCAGTTTTAAATGTTTTCTGCAGGGTTTTATATTTTCTGTCTGTGAAAAGGAATAAACAATTGGTTGCCAGGAGCTTACTGTTGACCAGAATAGAAATTTTCTCCTTTCAAAATTCATTCAGTTCAGTTTATTTGTACAGCCAAATATCACATATAGAGGTTCGAAGGGCTTCCAGCTATAAAAACCTATTAAATTACATAAAATGTTTAAACAACTAAGCAACATAGCAGAAATGCTAAAAACTAAATAATACAAAAATTCCAAAAACCAAACAGAGAAGTATGGAGAACAAAAAATCAAATGCTGTGATGCTGATTAAGAAAAATGTGCTTATTCATTAAATCTTCCGGGCTAAATATGGCTGAGCTCAGTAGTTGGTCATGCTTTAAGACAGATCTAAAGTTTACTTACCATAAAACTTTACAAAATATTCTGCACGTCTTCCCCAATATATTGAAGTTTTAGAAGTATCTGTTTGGTTAAGCAGTGTTATTTTTTTTACCCCCTTCACACACTGATGTGCCAGGTCATCCTTTAAGATAGGACCCAGGTGAATCCTGCCTCGGCTTTGACAAAAGCATTTTACCAATGCTACAATGTAACAGCTATCTCAAAAGCTTGTGCTTAGTATAGCATTTTGATGTATCAAACCAAAGTTAAAACAATTACACTAATAGCCTAAAATATTAGCATGTTCTTATAGCCGGAATAAATTGGTGAAAATCAGATTAGTCGACTTTTCCCTGAAGCTTAGTGTCCGCGCTACGTTTTATTTTTGAGTAATAAAAGCACAACACACTGCATTCTAACCTTATCTTTTATCCTGGGGGTCTTTATTCATTTCATTTTTTCCTATATACTCTCATTAATTGGCATCCTCCAAAGCAGTGCAACACATATCAACAGAAAACACCAACACCTTTCAACTTCTCAGGTCAGCCGGATGTTGCAGGGAGCAAAAAGCTAATCTTCTACTCGCTTCCAAAATGCTTCCACAAGCACTTTTTATCGTAGAAACATGTGAAATGGAAAAAGCAATCTTCTAATGCCCCTGCAGTGGAAAAAAAAAAACAGCTCCAGCAGAAACTTAGAGGCTATTAGCTGTAGTATAAAGGTCACTAACGAGGGAATTTCACACATGCACACTTTAACGATAATCTAATGAAAGTCCTACTCTCCTAATGACCTGATCTGGACCTTTAGTTGGTTTATATAAAGCCGAAAAAGGCTCGCCTGTTGTGAAAGCAAGCTCTCTAATGAAAGTCGTCGTCACAAAATATAAAAGGCGCAAGAAAGGATTAAACGAACACAATCGCTCATTATCTCAGGGACAACTTTAGCTTTTATTGCTTGCATTTTTCGTCTTATTCTCATCTTTTCACAGATTCCATTTTTTTGGAGTTTTTTTCCTTTTTGCTGCTTTGTCGTTCGCATAATGAAAAGCCATGCAGCAGAAGCTTGCGTGCATATCCTGTAGAGGCTGATGGGTTGATGTGTGGCGGCTGCACCACACATCAACCAAGATGTAAATTTAATACCACCATATGCTGATGTTTCCCTGCACCAGTGTTGATTAAATGATTCGGCTTTATCTGATGAAGAAGTAAAGTTTTCGCATCATTTGTCATGTTGCGGCGCGCTATCTGTCTCCTCCTGCTAATCAAATTTCTGTTCAAAGTGAAGCAAAAATAACAACATTAGCAGACTGTAGATGCTGAGCTCTTTTCCTTGAGCTGTGTGTTTTGCTTATGAGATATTTTAATTGTAAATAGAAAAAGGAATGCACCAGACTTTATCAATGCAAGAAAGCATAAATTATAAGAGGAAATTAAACTAAATTCATTCGCAGAGAACCAACTAAGACTGAGCCCACAAACAAACAGTTCGTAGTGCATTAGCTTCCCAGCAGAATATACACAGAATTACTTGATTGGCCTCAAGGGATGTAATATCTACGCTTTAATTTCAGATACCAAGTGAGCATATCCTGTTACAAGCCATTACAAGGCTTTAATGCCAGGCGCCGTGTTGGGGATGGTGTTTGTTATGCTCTCATTTTATATCCTCACTTGTTAGGTTTTAGCTCTGTTTGAGATGCGATGAAAAGATTTCTGCTAGGCTTTCTTGTCTTGCAAAATTTACTCCCATGATTAAAAATATTCAGTTGGAAATAACTTCACTGCTTAATTCTCTTCTCTAAAGGCTGCTTCAGAATAAGCAGTAAAATGAGAGACACAAAGTAGATGTAACTAATTGCCTTCCCCCTCTGGGTGTGGAGTGCAATACACTATTTTGGATGATTTTTTTTTTCACCATGTACACTCCACTGTGGCTGCTGGACAGGAACATTCATTTCTTCCTCTGGCTCTGGGCTCGTGCTCATACCCTCGCCAGTTAGAGAGTTACTTGTGGCTCAAGTTTTGCAATTTTCATACCGGCAGAAGTTGCCAAAGCATTGTGAGGTCATTAGTCATCTCACAACCTACTGGTTTCTGGACAGAAACAGAATACGTGATGAAACATGCCAATCAATAGAAATAAGGCAGTAAAATAAAATAAAAACACTCAAAGTCTTGTAGATTTCACCAAAAAAAAGTCAATACCTGCCTGTTGCCTACTAAAAGCATACAATACGGATTGAAGAATATCATGTTTGGAGGGATGGTGTTCATTTATGACATCCTCATTTCATATTCTTGCCAGTTGGGCATGCCTCAGTTTTGAGGTGTAATATAGCCCTGCCAAATCAGCGGTAGCCCCATTACTCATCCCCCTCTGTGCTGTCTCCTGGCTTGTGCTCTGGCGCTAATGCAGATTACAGGGATATATGAGGGCTATTTTGTTCGCTGCAGGGTGGAAACGATCACAGGCAACCCTCATCCCTCTCTGATGCACGACTCTACATCTGTTCCCCCCACGAAAGCCTATCTGGAGATCCATCAGAGCCAAGCCCTTATCAGATCTGAGGCTGCTACATCTATTGCACATCAATTATAAATGCCACGTATAAAAAAAATTGGGTCACTCTATCAACACTTGCTCCCGATCCTCAGAGACATTGTTTAGTTAAGTGATTAGTGGCTCGACTTTAGATACAGTTTGTGCATGTTAAATGGTCCATTTATGATACACGAGCATATAGATGCAATGGCCTCCGGCGAAGGAGAATAATGTTACGACTAATAATGGTTATGCCGTAATGATAATGTGGCTGAAACTTTCTTTGCGCACGGGGAAATAGGAAGGGGAAATTAATCAGAGAGAACCACACTTTTTCCGTCAACTTTCAGATCCTCAGCGGATCGAGTTTGTGGGATTTGCGCAGGTGGAAATCCACACAGGTGTGAAATGCATGCATCATAATCGATAAATCCATTTTTCTCTTGCTGCAAGACAATCCGAAGTGATGAATGAGCCAAGCTGCATTATTCAAAGCTGAAAATCACTCGCAACTTAAATTTATTTCCAACTTGCTCCCTGACAGAGAACACAGACATATTATTCAAATTTTTATCTATTCTGTGACCAGGACACGTTCAAAAACCACACGTTTAATCTTTATGCAAGTCTCCCCTCATCTGTTGGGTAAATAGACCATTCATCATATTATTGGGCTTTTACAGCTTGACTGTTTGACTGATCTGTCTCTCAAACAGCTCCTCTCTCTGGCAGACCAATCAATCATTTTTCAATGAAGATGTCACAGCTCATTGTGTGAAGAGTTATCCTAAACAATTCTCCTCGCCTTTTAGATGATAAATTAAAAGTAAGCCGTTTATTTTTGGCCGTCGGGATGGTCAGTCCTCGCAGACATGTATGAACAAAACATGTAGGCGCTCGAAACTTTTGAGCAAAACATAAAGTTTTATCGATACGCTTTATGCCTTGTTGAAATCTCCCACTTTTTACTTCAGTGGAGGTGTTAGCAGGTGCAGAAACGTCGACGTGTGTGTGCTTGCTATTAACTTTTCATTAGGCACTGTAAACTGCACAAGTCATCACCAAGAGGTTCCTACTTGGCATAATTGGTTTGTGGTTAATGCCTGTTTGTGTCGGTGGGTCTGTAAAATCACAGTTTTAGCTCTTTCTCAGGGAGAAGCACTTTTTAAAGATTTACAGCTTTTTCAGACTGGCAGCTGAAAGCACACACGCACAACTCATAAAACTTCTTCTAGGGTGCACATTTTTCATTGCAGCTACTCATAATGATCTCTAATTTAATAATTAAAGCCTTACAATTGACTTATTAAAAGACCAAACAGCTGCAGTGCATTAATAAGGATTTCACTGTTCAGGATGAGTTCTTGTTTGAGCGCACCTCTCATCTCCACTCTTCTTCTTTCTCTTCTGTTTCTGTGCCAGGGTCCTTCAGGATTTCATGCAGAGACCTGCGAATGAGCACTGACGTCTACCTTCATCTGAGTGTAGATGAAAGACGCAGGGAATCGCATATGGTTCCACACACGCACACCAACACAGACGCTCGTCATACTTCCCTTTGTTTTGCTAATGAAAATCTTTTCCATCGCTGTCATCTGCTGCAAGACTGCGATTGAAGATAAAAGAATATTAACCACATAAACCTGTAATATACCTATGAAACTATTAACAACTTCATGTTACGTGAGTGATGCATTTTAGTGTTTTTGCTGTTTGGCATGAGAAAGTTTTTAAAGTGGGGTAATTTGATGAAACACCATATTTTAAATGATAAGGGAATAACATGAAATGAAATGAAGTAAAAATATAAATTAGAACAAAAGAAAGGCAGTCAGTTCACCTTCAATACATTAAATAAATAATAGATTTTAGCTTGAACTCCCTGGATAACACTCTTTTAGTCAAAGACTGTATAAGAAGATAAAAAACTCATAGACAAATGAGCCTACTTGTCACTAGCTCTATGACCTCAGTAAATGTTTTCCTGGTGGCTTAACCCCAACTTCAACCCTTATTTCATTCAGCATGATGTTCACATTGTAAATTGTGGTTCAAAGTGAAACAGACATCAAATAAAGCAAGGTAAGTTTTTAAGTTCAACTTTTGGTTTCAAAAAGCCAAGATAATAAGAATGTATACTTTATTGATCCCCGTGGGGAAATTCATCTCTGCATTTAACCCACTCAGTGAAGCAGTGAGCAGCCACCAATCTAGCAACCGGGGAGCAGTGTGTAGGGACGGTACCTTGCTCAGGGGCACCTCAGGGTAGCCGTTCAGTGGATTCAAACCCCCGACCTTCTGATCATGGGGCCACCGCTCTACCTACTTAGCTATCGCTGCCCTGACGAACAAAATACTCGCCTCAAGATTTCCAAATGGGATTTCATATAAAAACAAGTAGTGTCACAGTAGTCACGTCCATCTTTTATATACAGTCTATAGATAATTCACTTACACTTTGATTCCTTTGGTTGCAAAACATCTAACCAGCATATAGAAGCCTGCATATGAATCCTTGCAATCAATTGAATTTTTTTCACTAAATTGAACAGCACCATTACTGGCCATTAAAAAAATGTCAAATCACATACATTGTAGTCTCGATTATCAAATGCAGTCTTTGTGGTTTCCATAGAAAGCCAAGTCTTTCTATGGATTATTAAGAAAAAATTTAATCAGTTTTCTCGCTCCTCGCGGATCATCCACGAGGTCCTTCCTCAGTTCGTCAGCCCTCCTCCACCACCCTACCCTCAGTGCACCTACGTTGCATTATTAAACTTGAATAAGATCATTAGCATACAAAGCAGGAAACCCACCGCCGTGGAGTCATACATATTTATCTGCCTGACTTGTGCATGCATACACTCGTACTGTAACCCCTTTTGCAACCAAGGGAGAGTGGTTTTCTACTGCAAGAGGGCTGCGAACAGAGACTGTGAAGTGGATATTAATAGGAGCATGTCTAGTTTTAAAAAGCAGATATCTATTTGTGAAACATCTAAAGAAACACAGGCTTTCATTTGAAATACACATTAAACCATGTGCGGCTGCCTGGAGAAAAATGTGTGCATTTGGAAGCAGAGCAGATGGAGTTTGGTTAGGTTCATCAGAGCAGCTTCCAGCATATCAAATATAGTTTACACACAGAGGAATTTCTGAATCTAGTAATGCCTGCAGTACATAGTCATCTGCTGCACACAGAAGCACATAATCAAACAGAAAGAAAGACAAACAGAGAGCATGGCCTTCTGAATACCTATCAACTGTGGATTACCTCTGCCTTCTAAATGACTCCTTGTTGCTTTCCTTGTATCATCCCCTTGCAAAATTAACTTTCTCCTCGCCCACCCTCCCTGTGTTTTACCCACTTGTAAATCACTTTTCCTCCTTTTCCTCGTCTTTCCAGCTGAGAGAACAACCTATCTCCTTTTTTGGCTACGTGAAGTTCCTTTTTAATACGCTTCCCTCCTTCCTTCCTTCTTTCTCCTTCCTCCTGTGAGATTGCTGTTGTGTCTTATGGCTTTTTATTCCTACGTGATGGTAGATGGGTTCATGTAGGAGTAGAAGCCACTAAACACGCGGCGAGTGCTCAACACGCTGGCCAACACATGCAGCGAGCTTCCTGTGGATATGACAGCTGCCATGTTCACATCAATGTCCTGCCTATTATCAAGAATGTACACACACATTATAAATAGAACAAGGATGATCCCTGCCGAGAGTGTTTACCACTCTGGATAAAAGTTTTAGTGGGGGGAAAATCGAAAATTAAACAGCTAATTGCAAACAATTAAGCAGAACGCTCAGCAAGTAAGGGCTGACGAGTCAATCTTTGGTTGTGAACAGACCTACTTTTCCCACCTGCATGCTGGCATGTGCCCTGAATTTCAAACTCATTCCTGCATTCCTATGCCCTGGGGTCATTGTGCCGAGTTCTCGAAATGGAGATGAGGATGGAAAAATAAGTGAAACAATGTGCAGAGGTAGGTCATCAATATTCTTTGGTAACGTACGTGATGTAGTCTGTTTTCTCCTTTGAATGTAAATAAATGCTGTACACGAAAAGCTGTTACAGGCTGCTGTATCTAAATACGTTTTACATCAGGTCTAACATGATTTGCATTTTACTTAATGGTATAAAGTGCCATGAGAGGAAGGTGTGAGTTGGCACTATATACACGTAAATTAATTTAACTTCTAATTGAAAAAGGCTTCAGTTTAAAATAGTTTATTGCCATCCAAGTAAAACTGTGAGGCTGTGAAGTTGTACTTTGGCAAAGAACATTTAAAGTTGTTATAGTGATTTTTATTGATGTAAGTGAAATAACCTTTAAATACACAAAAAGTCAATACCCAAAACCGAACCTAACAAAGCAAAAAAACAAGAAAAAACATTATTTTTTAAGTTAAATTATATTATTACTGTACTAATTAAAACTGCATCTGTGTGGGCTGTAACTCCCTCATCAGTCATGAAGGTGCCTTATATATAATTAAAATAGATGGGATTATAGTAAATATAATAAATGTAATATTCCTAACTTTTAAAGTTTTATATTATTTAATCCTCTAGGTTAAACTTGAGTTAAATGAAAATACTTTTGATTAATTCTACATAGTCCTTCAACAATCAAACACATTTTTCTACATTTGTTTTCTTCTTCTTAGATTAATAAAGAACTTTTGACTATAGATTCATAGGTTACTTTAAAACTCAAGTAAAACACATTTTTAAAAATAATATGATCTAATGAAACAAGGCCATAAGGTTTGAAAATAACTTGCTATTATCTTTCCTCTTTGGACTGATGTTTTAAATCCTTTTATATGTCCTTAGAAGGATTTTCCGCTTGTGTAAAAGTTAACCCAAACCCTTAGTCACAACTATCTGCAGAAGGTTGTGACAGACTGAGATTTTAGAATTTATAGCAGTTGTCTCTTTTAAAATTATTGGCAATTACAGGTAAAACAAATTTTTTTTGTATGTTTCTTTTGTTTTTAATAAATCCAGTTCCCTTTAATTAAAAAAAAAACATTTTCTTAGTTGGTTCATCTTTATTTTAGCTCGTCCTGACATTTGGTAATTAACAGGTAAATGGTACTGAGATGAGAATGTCATTCGTTTTGAAGCTCAAGAGCCAAAGTATTTAAAAAAAAAGTTTGCTCTTGACTAAGTAATGGAGCTAAATGAGAAATCAGAGGATCACCAAAGTAATTACAGTTCAGCTCGAGGGGGTCTCAAACGTCTACACCAAAATTCCCATCCATCATGTAGAAGTTGAAGCATATTTCGAAAAACCATAAAAGTTAAGTAATTTACGGCTCCGGAGGAGAAGTAATAAGACCCCCAATGTTAGGATTCTCCATCTGAGAACCATAAACCATGAATGAAACTCAAGTCTGGACTCAATGACATCACCATCTGTAGTTTGACATCGGTAGCATGGTTGAAAACTTGATCTGCACTTGATAAGAAGGAGTTTTCACCACGAACAAACACATTCTGATACATTGTATCAGAGCCCACCTCTCTTTGTGAGGGTGTATTTCTTTAAATCGAACCCCTTTAAACTCTTAAGCACCAGCATGAAAACAGTGACTCAGCTCAGTGTGAACCCCTTGTCTGCTCACAAATTAGGTCCAAATTTTCACCAGCTCAAAATGGCTAATAATGGCATTTATCAGCGGTAACTTTCTGCCTGAGCTGAACTCAGTGTCAACCAATTAAGCAAGAAATTCAAATTATCCTGCTGCTGGGTCCAGTAGGGTGCTGTGGGGGCTTGGGTTTAAATGTCAACCTTCTGTTTGTATTTGCTGTGCAATGAGCTGTTCTCATTCAGTCTCCCCCTGGACAGAATCTGAATAAAACCCAAATGGGTTGTTGCTGCGAACCCCAAAAAATAATGAATTATTAATCCCACGATATTACAAGATTTTGGCAGACGCTTGCAACTGTGTGACATTACTCCAGCACCAATAAAGGGGCCGATAATTATTCAAGATGAAATTGTAATAGAGGAGGTCTGCAGAGGTTTAATGATTTATTTAAGACTGTACGTTGTTGTGATCTAATATTCAGTGGGTGGGTTGGGAAGTTTCTTTTGCTTGCATTATCAGTGTAATTTATTTTTCAGGTTCCCACTCCTACATTGGCTTTTTCTCTGACTTTACAGAGACATGAGGAGGCTTGAGAGAATAGTAGAGGG